CCCCCCCCCCCCTGCCTGGCATGCAGTCTCACTCTGGGTGCCTTCCGCGAGTCGCTGGCCACCCTCTTCCAGCTGGCCGTCGGCCGGAAGCTGGAGACCATCCAGTTTGGCAAGCCCTTCCCGGAGATGGTACGTGTGCTGCGCATGCCTCTTTCGATGTGCCCCTCTCCCTGCCCGGGTGTGCCTCTGGCGATGGGCTTGGCCCATGGCGGTGTGCCGGGCGCCGGTCCACCGGCCGGGCTGGCACCCTCGCCACATGTGGGGCGCTTGTGCATGCTCGGAAGCGGGCTCACATCGGCATCCGACCCGGCCTGACGTCAGGCCCGCTGCTGGCTGACCCTCGCGCACCATGCTGACCGATACGCGCCCCGGGGCGCTGTGTGCCTCTTTTTCTCTCTCTCTCTCTCTCTCTCTCTCGCAGTATGCCTACACTGAGCGTGCTCTGGCGCTGCAATTCTACCGCTCCACCCACGGCACCGACCCGGCCGACATCCAGCAGGATCTCCCCCTGCCGGGGACCATCTACGCGGTTGGGGACAATCCCCTCTCCGACATCAAGGGCGCCAATGGGCGTGGCGCCCCGTGGACATCGGTCCTCGTGCGCACCGGGAACTTCAACACCGACGCCCCGAATGACCCGGACAACCCGGCGGCCATGGTGTGCGACGACCTCCTGCAGGCCTTCCGCCAGATCGCCGCGGCGCATGGCCTTCCCCTGGGCGAGGACCTGTGCTGATGACGAGTGTGCCTGCCTGGGGGGGGGGGGGGCGTCGGCGCGATCGCGCGCTTTTCATGTCACCGCGGCCCCTCCCGCCTCCGCGGCTCCCGTTCTGTTTTGGGCCCCTCTCCGGCCCGCGGCGGGACCGTCGGCACTCGCCGGGCTGGACGCGCACCAAATACACCAACGCACCTGCGACCGGATGCGGCGGGATATGTCACATAAGGATTGGCACCATCCGGCCTGCCGGCGGGGGGCGCCCCCGCGGGGAGGGGCAAAAAAGGCCCGCGGGCATTCCTCCGCCGTGGTGTGGGTGTGGCACACGTACGGCGTCCGGACCGGGGGACAGAGACAACGGCGGGGCGCGGGGCGGACGCCAGACAACCCCTTTCTCTCTCTCTCTCTCTCTGTCTGCCTCTCTCTCTGGGCGTGTGTGCATCTCTGGGTGCTCGCCGTTGCCGGAGTCTCTCCGGGGGGGAACGGGAGCGGGGGGCAAGGAGTGCATCATGTCCGTGTGCGCCGGCAACAAGCCCCCGCCCGCGGGCCTTGCTCCGCCGGCCGGGCGGGGGGGTTCGGCGGGCGGAGGGCCCCGGGGTCCGGGGTCCGGGGTGCTGTCCGGCGCGGCGGACGATCGGACACACGGGAGCCGGCCGCAGACGCGGGCGCCGGGCCAGCGCGGCTTGGTAAATGAACCAGCCGCGGGGGCCGGGGCGAACTGCAACTGCCCGGCCCCGGTGCCGGCACCGGGGACGGAGGCGAGCCGAGGGCCGCGGAGACCAGGGCGGATGTCGCCCGGCCGCTCGTGGGGGGAGCGAAGGGGGACCCGGCGAGAAACGCGGTAAACAAATCCGCCGGTCTGTGGGAAAAACCCAAGCCCCTGAGTGAACGCTATTCCCCCTGCCTCGCTCGGCGGCGATCGTATCCCCCTCCCCCTTCCGGCTTCGGGCGGGGCGCGCGAGGCTCGGTGCGCCGGGCGGCCGAGGGGGCGCGGGCGGCACGCCCCCAGCGACTCCCGACCGGTGCGTGTACGTGCTGCCTCGGCCAATGCCGGGGCCGGGGCCGGGACCGCCGTCAAGCGCGCGGATGTGATTTGCGAATATTTTATTCGATCATTCCCCGAGAACCGGGCCGGCACACGCATCCGGCCACCCAATCCCCACAGACGAGCTGGCCAGGGGGGGGGGGGGCGGGGCAGGGCGGGGGGATGTTCTTCGGGAGGGCTGGCTGGCTGGCCGGGGCGAGGGCGGGGGCGAACGGCCGCGAGGGAGGCCGCGGCGCCCCATTCCTTGCCCCGCGTGCCCGGGGAGGGGGGG